AACTTTGATTAATAAGAAGTCAATCCAATTTGATTACATAATAATGTACCAAAAATGCTTAAAAAGCGTGTGACAAATATTACTTAACAATAACTTAAATAACCAACAAAGTTGACCTTCAACATGAATGTAAAAATATCTAATTTTTATCCCTGTCATTCTAATCATTTGGGGACATCATCTGCTGCATAAACTCTGAATCATTGAGCATTGTTGTAAACTCTCCAGGTGAGTGTGGCACTGGGTGGTACAAAGGTGGCTGGCATGGATGGGGGTAGTAGAACTGCGAATATGATGTATACGGATACGGTGGAAGATGCTGATATGGAGGATATGGGTACGATGTCGGTGGAAGATACGGTGGAAGATGCTGATACGGTGGAAGGTGACTGTTGTTAGGATGGAGACCACTGCTGGGAGTTAAGACTGTTGTTAGGAGGAAGATTGTTGATGCGGATGTGCGTTCCCTGAAGTGATCATCTGTTTCAACTCATCCAACTCCTTTTGCTGTCGCTCATACTTTTCCTCAATTTCTGAATATTGAGATTGTAAATTAGCATATGCTCGCTCAGTACGTGATCGAAATGATGAAGATGTTGGCTGAGTTTGTGCCACACAAGGAATCATTTCTGGCGTCACCCCTCTTCCATAACCACGAACTCTACCACGAGTCTCTAAACCCCTTGCTGCTACATAAGCTTGTTGCCTTAGTTCTGATGTTTCCTCACCATGGGTTTCAACCAAACTCGTTAATTCTCGTAAGATCTTAACCTGAAAAAAGAATTCACTTCAACAGCCAAAATGAACACAATATGAAGTAAAGCAATTTTTTACATGTATTACTTGTCTAAATACAAATGATTAAATTTCAAACTCACCGCTAATTTGAGATGTTTTGACATTTGAGATGGTTTGACAAACTCTGATACAAGCAGGTTTCTCGAAAATTATATTGAATTGTACAAGCATTTTTCAGATGTATGGTAACCCAGAACTAACAGAACTTGAGATTCTAATTTATCTTTTTTAGCTCAATCTATGAGGTATTTTTATATGACCAATGTCAGTATACATATGTATCAGTAAATGCATAACATTACATACATATGCATAATAGTTGAGAAATATAGTAAAGTGATCAAGGCAAGATACGAAATTGGTAACTACTGCCATGGGGATAATTACTTACTTGAAACTAGCTCCATGTAGAGGCCTTCCTCCAAGAGCAGCAGGAACTCTTCCAGACGAAGAATTTCCATTTAGATTCCTAGAGAAAAGTTTGAGCAGGATGTTAACCGCTAGTTAGCTGCAAGAAAGTGTTAGGAATTCAATATTCAAGCAAATTCTCTTACAATATTTTTAATGATGTAAGCTGGCCAAGACTTTCCGGAATTGAACCATTGAGGTCATTATAAGACAGGTCTCTCAAAACATGTTAAAAAGTTGGTTACTAACATAGAACATTTTCCTGATGCATAAACTAAATAAACAAGTTTGCATACTAATGCTTTTTATAAGAGAAATGAGAAAATAGATAATGAGCCAAAATTTTCTGCTCTCCCTCTCCTCTCACTTTCATGTGCATGCACACGCAGAAAAGAAAAGGAAGAAAATACATTATTGGCATGTAGTTGAAGCCTCTTAATTTGAAACAAGCACATACCAGATGTTAGAGAGAAAAGAAAGAGCACAACTTTCTGATAATGGGAAGAAACATGGGTATCAATATTCTACTAGAAAAAAGAAGGTTTTGGAACATGGCAGAGAACTATAGAAAAACATGCGAATGGTTGCTCCATATCCATTTATATGTTTCTATGAATTTATACTCACAGTAAATCTTTTTATCACTTATGATCTTTCTCATACGCACCCAATTTCAGACAGAGTTAAGAGGAACAACATATCTATTATAGCTGCTATAGCTTGATATCCATTGTATCATAGGCATTACCGTAAAGTCTGAAGTCCAGAGCCAGTATAATATGGCAAGGAGCATATAGGAAATAGATACTCTTTTATCATTATCCACATAAGAAATTCCAAAGTTCACCTGGAGATCTTAAATAACAATAATTTCTAAAGGAACTTAGCTATATGTAACATACATCGATAACAATTACGAATGAACAGCTTAAATCAAGGCTGATCCTGGTAAGAAAATTAAAAATAAAAATAAAATAAATATACAAATGAACAACTCAAGTTTAGAAATTTATACCAAATATGGTTAAGATATCAATGAAATGTAGAGAATTGTAAAGGCAGCAAGGATACCAATAATGTACTCACAATTCCTGCAACCCACTTATAGTACCAAGAGAATGGGGAATTTGCCCTTGTATACTGTTCCCGCTCAAGTTTCTGTTAAAAACAGGAGATCTGTTACCATTTCCATTTATGATAAACATTAATAACTAATACTATCCATAGTCTGTTTTGGAGTTAGACCACAGTACTAAATAATGGATCTTGAAGTTACTGCTAGATATTACATGACAAAATTTCATAAACAGAAGTAACACTACTGAACAAGCATACAGAAAATAAAATAAAGTAAAAGTAACTTGTAAGCTCACATGCTTTGCAAATGATGCAGCTTAGATATGTCTTCTGGCAAGAGACCTCTTAGACCTTGGTTGTCTAAAGACTCTAAACCTCTGCAAATTCAGAAAATATTCAGTCACTTAAGCAAAAAAAGACAAATAATGACAAATAGGTAATTGTAATGTTTATTGTGTTTACATATAATACTTTATTGAAAAGTACACAACCATTCACATGTAGGAGCATGACATCATCAGACATCAATACATGCAAAAAATGCTTCATAGTGAGAAACGAAGTATGTTGTACATTATATCGATGTATGTATATATGCATGTACATGAGTGCCACTTGTGAGAAAGAAACTCAAATTATGAAGCAATTCCTATTTTACTATGCATTTTGATATGATGCCGAATAGACCAAGAAGCAAATATTTGCAGTAAAGTTATGTAGCAGTTGATATGCACACACACACAACGCATTTTGAGGGTCGACCTAAGGGGGAAAAAGGGAAAACACAATCCAAGGTGCCACATGCAATGAGTATATTTCTTCCTACTCAAGGCATGAATAGGCCTGACCTCCCTTGTCATGACCTATGAGGTTCATGTTTATGACAGTAACATGAACAACAATGAGAAAAGCCTAAAACTTGGACAAAAGCAAGCAATTAAAGCCCATCTGGCTTAGGCAGGTAAGGTGCACCTGTTTAGCTAATGATAGGGTGACCAATGGACCATTACTATGTCAGAATCTGAATTTACATGTAAGTTTTCTAGTAAATGTGTTTCTCGTCAAATATGCATAGCTACAATTCTTGAAGTTAACAATAAAGGGGTGAGTATGATGCCAAATATGTACAGCTACAATTCTTGCAGTTAACATTAAATTAAGACCAGGGGTGCATATATTACCCATTCAAAAACTCTATATTATAAATTCTCACATATAAAGACCTGCATTTGTTTATTAGCATATTCGCATGCGGATATATGTACCTACTTATAAGATTAGACACATATTCCTGTGGACTCAAACTTACAAGCCAAATACGCATGCTTCGGAAACACATTTTATTTAAAAACTGCAAATAAATTCCAAATAAAACAAGTCTGATTTCATCTCAAACATAACAAACTCTGTTTGTTGTTTTTCTAAATCCAGATAGGGAAAGGTATAGCATAGGAAAGAAAGTTTTGAAATTAAAGTAAGATATTGTTTAGATCATAAATAAATGCAAGGTCGAGAAAGTACAATCCATCTATGTTCCATTTGCCACTAACTCTGTCGAACTGGCAGTCCACTCCACTCCAAGGATGTTGCCGGGGAACACATGGATCACCATTCCAGCCAAGACGGAGTAGAAGCCCCAAAGAGTTCTTCAACACTAGCAAAGTTTTAACTATTAAAATACCATTTGAAAATGAGTTAGAGAAAATAATGCAAACATTTAGTTTAGCAAAACCTAATAATAACAGAAAAGAGACCCCTCAAATAACACATTTTGTTCCTACCCAAGATAGAATAAAAACTGCTAATAATCATTATTAACCTGTTTATACAAAAATAAAGGATTATAGCTAAATGTTAGGAAAGTAATGTTAATCACTTTGTCCATTGTATAAATGACTTAGTAACATATAACATGTCAACAAGATACATTACGATACATTTGTTATCTATTACTAACGGAAGCCGATAGTTTTTCCAATGAGATAATACTAAGGGTATATAGAGGAATGAAACTAATGAACTGAACACCATATGTAATCATGAAATATAAGCATTAAATCAAAGAATATTACTTCTCATGTGCATTAAAGAACTGATGTATTTTTCTATAGTAAGCCGGCAGACATACCTTCTTCAAATGAAGTTCTGAGCTCTGCTGCAATGACCTCAAAAACTTCAATTGCATTGATGATGGCATGACTTCCCCTTGAAGGGCGCAAGGTAACATTCAGAGTTTTCCCACTCACCACAATAGTTCTATTCAGCACAAGAGCTGTATTATGTTCCCCAGTACTATGAATAATATCAACATTTTTGAAAGCAATATCACCATTTATCAATATATCGAAGATCCTTTGTCCTTCACTTGATATTCTGGGATCAATCTCAGCAAGGTGAAGCCATATCGGATAATTTTTATGTGGATCTACATCCATTTGAAAAGATAAATCAGGCTGCTTATCTGTGCTCACAATTGAGAGAGAGAGAGAGAGAGAGAGAGAGAGAGAGAGAGAGAGAATAATCCATAAATAATCCAAATTCGAGGCAGAAATTATAAGAAAAATAACGTAAAATTCTTAGCGAAAGAAAGAGAGAGACTTCACCTTTGAAGAGGATCGAAGTTTTCCCGCGATTGGGGATCGAAGTCCGACGCGGCGCACGAACTCCGACGGGGAATTTGGGGGCAGCGACGAACTCCGACGGGGGATTTGGGGGCAGCGACGAACTCCGACGGGGGATTTGGGGCAGCGACGAACTCCGACGGGGGATTTGGGGATTTTGAGGGATTTGGGATTTCTGATGAGAGAGAAAGAACGGGGGATTTGTGTGTGGGGGGGTTGTTTTTTTCCTCTGTTTCGCGAAAATATTAACCCTAATTTGTTGTTGTAAAAATAAATTGGAAAACAATAGGGGCGGAAGTATGGGCCTCCGTAGGACAATACGCGTAAATAAAAGCAGCGCGGTTTTTTTTAGGGTTTAGAAAACATTAGGGGCGGATATATATGCCTCTATTTAGTCCAAATTACTTAATTTGGCGCCTCTATTATTTTCAATTCCCACCAAACTTGTAGGGGTACTATGAATCGCCCCAAATAATAGTAATAGGCACATATTCAATATCCGCACTTAATTCATAATTATTAGGGGCAAATCACTATTTCTGCCCCTAATAGATCGCCCCAAATGCTCACTTTTTTTGTAGTGAAAAGAAGAAGATTATTGGGGTTATATATTGTGCGTTGTCGCCCTCCAATGCCTAAGTTATTGTCTTTATAAGAAAATAAACATAGATTTTTAGGTTTTAATTGCATTTACCTCTCTTTGTACCTTTGTGGTTTATAATATCTAAAATATTGTTATATAATTGGATAAGGGTAGTAGATATTGCAACACCTCCGATCTATATGTTGTTGATTAAACCACAAGATAATTCTAGGGTTTTCAAAATGAATCAAACAACAATAAACCCTAGAAAAAAGAATAATCTAATACACATGATTAATACAAAGAGGAAATTAACAATAGCTGCGGAAGCGTACCTAGATCCTCTTAGGTCTCATGTTTATGAGCCTACTATCTAATCTAGTTTTGATGATTAACAAATAATTTCTAACAATAGTTGTCGAATGTTTATATTTGATTGTTAGGTATTCTACACAAGGATCCTCTGTTGAAGGTTAGATGGACTTGCGCATTCACGATCATATCTGTAGGCGTCTAAAAATACCTATAGGTATCCACACACAGCTCGAGACAGGGAGAAGGTAATGAACGTCGTTATTTAAATCAAAGAGAATTATCTGACACCGACAAGCGAATCAACGAACTGTTAATGACGTGGCCCGCACGCTCACCGGCCATCAAATCGGTGAACCAAGTGTCTTGCGTGCTCACCGACCACCATTAAGTGTTCCGCACGCTCATCGGAAACCAAAACAGCGTACAAGTCAACGAAACGACGAAATACGCGTAACGACGTAACAAAACAAAATCTAAAAGACTAAGAAAGCCGCTGGCGGCCGAGTCGCATCGAAACGGCTCGGCCGAACCAGTGGTTTGGCCCATAGCTAGGTCACCAAGGGTGGCTCGGCCATGGCCGAGCCACCGTCCTGTTTCGGTTTTGACGGTTTTTCTTGGGATTTGTTTGTTCCTGAGCGTTCCAACTGATCTGATACTATGGTTAATCAATTACCAACTGAAGATAAGGAGGAATCCCCCATTTTGATCCAAAAAAGCCATCAACCGGAGCCTATAAATACGAGCTCGGGTGTGTTAAATATCATTTCTCCATGATAATGTTTTGATGATAACAATTTATATTTTGTGTGCACTAACTTT